CCATGAAGACTTTGCTGCTGTTTGCACTGGCCTCTATCAAGAGGGTTGGGGACCTGCAGGCATTTCCGGTCAACCAATCATGCCTATTGTCACTGTCAGTGACAGCTGCCGGGGTTATTCTTTCTTTACATGCACTCTGAAGCAATATTTTCATATTGTGCAATCTTGTTGCTCTGGCCCCTCCAGCAAGTTCTGATATACTTTAATTAAGGCCTGGTCTGTAGTTACTGAACAGACTTGAACCTCTGGGAAAGACAAACTGTTAAAGCTGCAGGGGAAAGGTGAATAAAGAGAAAGAATAATCAGCGTACTACTTTGATATACATCTAATTGAGTGTACCAGTTCGAGAGTGTGTGTGCGGTATCAGCTGGAGGGATCACCATTTGTCCTTACTGTCATTGAAGCCTCAGTTGTCAGCAGCTTCTCAACAGCACTCCCATACAGTGCTCTAAAAAGAACCAGTCCAGATGAGACGATAACAGATAGACAACCTGGGACGAATCCTGAAAACTGAATCCTCAAACAGGGATGACAGGAGAGTTCAATTATCATTATCTTCACCCCCCTGATGGCATAATTATTTTGCACTCTTTTATGCAATTATCCAAATAAATGGCACAAATATGCAAACAAAATTGGAAACGCTTGCACGATTTTGGTCATTTTGCAACAAATTTAAATCATAAATGGATGCAAGACAACATAAATGGGCAAATATGTGGATAAATTAAGGAAAAAATGAATCAATATGATTCATATGAGTCAAAGAGATTCATCCTAATTGGGAAGTCACATGAAAAGTTCTTTAATATAGCTATAAACTTTGGAAATACAAATACAAAGTCATTTCTGTCACCAGCTGACTGAGAAATTAAACTTCCTTCAGAACAGAGGTCTGAATATAGAATGTCGTTAAACACAAATGACACAGTCACCATTAAAAAAATAAACTTTTTGAGGAACATGAGACAGAAAAGCTGCCAAAGGAAATCATCGCACATTCGCTAAACTCTTTCAATCCGTCAGGGATGAAATAAGTAGGTTAGGGGTTCTACCAAGACTTCGTTTAAATCCACATCCGCCACTTAATAGTGTGCATTAATTACCAGCCTTTGTTGGAGTGTGTACATCTCCTCATCTTCTCATGGCTGTTATTCAAATGAAATCTCATTAAGATGCCATTTAGGGATTTATGGGCCGCCCGGCGCTATACGTGCATTGATTTTGATAACCCACCCACATTGTGAAAAAAACATGTTTGTTTCACGATACAGTCGATCTACACAAATCAACATGCTCTGCACCTGTCATATTTTATCAGACATCTTAATTTGAAAGCTGGAGGGAGGAGCAGAAACAAATTGCCATTCAAAGTAGCTTCGCTGCATCACCATTAAGAGATGCTTTCGCCATGACATAAAAAAAAATTAATAAGTAAACCAATGGTGCTTAAGACAGTAGTTCATGTCCTGGTGGGGAAAAATCCATCATTTGTTACTAAGGAGAATAAAAAACATATATATGTCATTTAGGGATGAAATCATTTTGGGGGGCACGAGAAGACAAACCCCAAAAAAGTGAAGCTGTCACGAATGGTAACATTATTGCATTATTCATTAGAACATCCAAAGTGCAAACTCAGAAGAGTAAAAATGGAGACGATACTTCACTACAGTGGCAGCTTTCACCTCAATCAGAGTGGCAGAAGAAGCCCTCAGAGACAATCAAATGCAATCAAGTCAGTGGTGGTGAGAAACCACTGGGAATCTATGACTCAAATTCCTCCTCAACCTCAACCTAAGCGAAATTTATGACTGATATTTCTCACAAACGAGTCCAAGATTTCGCCTTGTTCTTTCAGTTAAACTAAGCGAGTATAACCAGCCCACAAAAGAGATAGTGAGGGACATCTAATCAGGAACATTAGCACTGCAGAACGGCCTCAGCTGATAAGCAGATGAACAGAATGGAAATCTCATTTTCCACGTTAGGGCGATCAAATTCAGCAAGTGGCACGCGGAGGGAGAGGTCCGAAAGAACGTCATCACCAATAAAAACAAACCCAGTGTTTTTGGATTGCCTCCAAATTGAGCACAGATAGGCAAGAGAAGAATCCATCACGGTACTCACTGGACAATCTGCTGTGAAATACCATTAGAGGGGCTTAACACACTCTGCCAGTCATCTGATATCAAACAGGGGAATGGAAAGGGGCATCAGATGTGGAATACATAGTGGCAACAAAACCTCTCTTACATCTCTAGGGAATATAAAGAATAACTGAGCCATGGCACTAATGCTGATGTTTATACTCTACACTGCTACACATGTTGGACAGATAGGCAGCCCAACAGGATGTGAGTGGGCACTCAAGAGCAGAGCATGCATTTTTATTTGCGATACTGAATAGATGCAAAGTCGGCTTGGCATGGATTGTCATAGGACCAACATGTAAATGAAAGGAGATCTGTCTCCCCATGCAGAGCTTGGTTTCTAATTCTAATCAAACAGTTAAACCAGCAAATCAATACTTTTGAGTTCAGTTATACTTGGAGAGAGCGTATCATTAGAATTCCTGCCCATCTCAATTACAGTTGCTTTGACACAAATTGAAAACTTCTTGAAAAATGAAGTCTCTTGTGCTCACCTCCATTTATTTGGCTAAACATACAGTAAAACAGTACTAAATGTAAGTTAATATGCTGGCATAGCTGAGTTTTCTGCATCATTACTCCAGTATTCAGTGTCACACAATCCTTTTTTTATTTATCCACAACATTTCTTATTAGTTTCAGAATCAAGGTAGAAAACAGTTGCTTAATATTTTGTTTAAATAGTATTAAAATTGTATACACACGCTATCTAAGTGACTTCATAATGACTGATCCATTAAAAACAAGTCTTTAAAAAAAATCGTACCCACCCCAAACTTTTAAACAGTGCCATTACAATACCTACCAGCAGGTTCTAACCAACCAACCCCTTGCCTTCACCTGACTTGCACAGATTTTAAAAGAGCACTCAGTAATCTTTTCTTTATGTTGCACTAATATAGCATCACAAAAAGTTAAAAGCTAAAGTGTCTAATAACAGGATAAAATATGCATATCTTAAAGTAAACTCTTTGTAAAATGAAACAGCTTTCATTATGGAAAAGGGTATGACTGAAGTCTTCGTCTCCTGTGGGTGTACGGTACACGATTGTAAGCTGATTTTTCAAAGTATTACTCATTTTGTTGCGTCTAAAACCTTTTAGTGAAAGAAAAATGACTGAGTGGAGTTCTAAGGGCAGACTATCTCTCCCATTGCTGTCTTTCCATCATGGAGCATGGAGTACGATCACTTCAACAAATCAGTCTGTTTAATGATGCGCACGAGTGGGCAGCCCGTTACACCCCCCTATTCATCTCAGCCATCATATTCACCTCAAGGTGATATTATACCATCATCCACTCATTTTTTCTATCATCATGATTTAGCCAAGAAAGACAAATCCCAACCATATCTGTCAAATCAGAGATTATATGTATGTAAAATATATTATATTAAAATACTGATAAGAAACTACAAACCCATGCAGCCCTAAGCCTTAAAGACATATCTTTTCAGTTTAGTTTAAATGGTGAAAAGCTTCAGTATAGTTTACATTTTCATCATGTACTGCAGCAAAACAAATGGATCCATCGGCCTGACACACTACTTTATCAGAAACTGCAGAATACTCTAAAATAATACCATCAAAGTTTAAGTTCAATTTTTTATTTGTCAAATTCTCAACAACACAGCAATACTGCCGTACTTGCTGACAATAAAATGTGCCATTGCTACCATCACTGCCAGATTGGCCACTCTGGAAAAGAACCAGTCACTGCACTTGTCAAAGTTGGTTCATGACATTGAATCTTCAAAAAAAAAATGCAGAGGCCGTTTGTATCAACTAAACGAGAAACATTCAGTTTCTTAATTGTGTTTTTGTAACATTTCACGTCTATATGGGACGTTCATTTGGTGTGGCTGGTTGTTTTACATGTCTAAATGGGAGATTTATTTTGACATAATAGAACTGTTCACTCATGTCATCAATTTGCAGGCCAGTCCAGAAGGCTAATTCACCATGCATCCCCTCTGGAATTTCTAATAGGTTTTTAGTTGCTTTACATTATGTGCAGAACATCCTTGTGTGGTGGTTACAAGACATAAAAGTAGTCCTTAAAAGATTTTAAAGTACACAGCAGTAAAATGTCACATTATGACATGAATCTGTTATTTATGTTGTACAAGAAAATCGTAGTCCCTTCCATTAAGGTTAACCCCAGACCTAAATTTACTCGTAAATGGGAAACCATTATTCCAAAACACCATTTTGAATTTCCTGAGGAAACCCACAGCTCAAAAATGCTAATTCTATCCTGGGTTTAAGGATGACATACTAAAGTGATTAAGTCAAAAGTTAGATTTGGGAAATTGACAAACCGGTCCATTTAGCATTGGTTGAAATGAAAATATGAAACAGGAAATCATTTTATCCACACTCTAAAAAATGCTGAGTTGTTTTAACCCAATGTTGGGTTTAACCACATTTGACCCAAAACTGGGTTAAAACAACCCAGCATTTTTAGAGTGCATAATTCTATCAAGTCTTCTTTCAAACTGCAGTGCACATTTGTCCTACAAATGTGAAACTTTAAGTTCATTCCGACATACTTTTGCATTATGATTGTTGTACTTCATCAATTCGACAACATGTGGTGCAAATACTCACAGCGCAACCACATACAGAAACACGCTGCAAATGGCACAGACCATTTGTGTTTATTTAATTTTGATTCGTGTGCGTTGTGAGCATTTGCAGCGCATTTCTGTATTTGGTTGCGCTGTGTTTTCAGCATGTGTTGTCAAACTGTTGGAAGGTGTTTTCTTAATTTGCTTGTGTTTTTTCTCTTTTCATGTGTTTTCTTCTGTTGAGCGTTGAGCTCTCTCAGCCACCATGGGTTTTTACCTCTATAGACATCTGGCCAGCTGGGGAGAACATCTGCACTCTCTGCTGATTTGATTTTCCCTCCTGAAAAGAGAACAAATCTCCTTATCATGCAGGTTATTTCACAAGAGGACAAAATAGTTACGGTGTACATGCTCTTAATGATTATATTAAAATATCAATGCTTAATTGGTTTTGTACTGCATTGTATTGCTCCCCCTATAATGGGATGCATTTAGTATTTGACTTTGAAGTATTGAACCAGATCGCACCGGGGCTCTTTAACTACTTGCATGATTAAGCATTTCACTGTAAACGTATTTATAGCTGTTCCATCAAAAGGCTTTGTCTCTGTATTTATATTGTTTCATGCACTTGACAAACCAACTTATTTTAAACAGCTTTGAGCAAAAAATATCATGGAAATAACAATGGTAAATATATAAATGTAAAAGTTCATTTTGAAGGTCACTCCAATGGTAAACTACTATCTTTTCCACTCAAGACTGTAAGGACGAAACAGATGTTATACACTTCCACTCAAAAGTATGGGCTCAGTTTTTTTGTTTTTGTGAAAGATATTAATACAAAGTGATGTAATGAAATTCTATATGGTATAGGATCATGTGACACTGGTGACTGGAGTAGCCTAATGGCTGCTGAAAATTCAGCTTTACCTTCACAGGAATGAATTATATTTTAAATAAATATTAAAATAGAAAACAGTTATTCTGAATTGTAATATTTGAAATATTTTGACTCTATTTTAAACATTTCAAAAAATATTACAGTAATTTATGTAGGCTATAATTCAAATAGCATTTCAAGACTTTGTATTCAACTGTATCAGTCCAATGAATTGAATTTTCATTTGCTTTCATCCAAAATCTGCTCTCAAACGAAGTTTTGAGGGAGGCATGCTGATAGAACAGCTGGTAATGCTTAAAACATCTACTTTGCTTTCATACTAATTTATAAGAGAAATGCAATGCCACATATTTTTCAGAAAAATGGCAGCATGCAACTCTGACTAGGCAGACATCAGTACATTCCCTTATCACAAGTCAGTGCTGCTACACACAAGTCAACTTGCTGCAAGGTAAAATGGTTTTCTTTATACAGAAATAAAAATAGTTCTGCATTGTTTGGAACAAATGTTGTTGTTGTTTTTTTTTTAAATCTGACCGTAATGGGACATAAATTTCATCTTAGAAACCAAGGAAGCCCATCTCAAAAGCATTGATTTTTAATTTCATATCAGTTTTGTTGTGGTAAATTGATGTGAGCACTGTTTTTGTCAACCTGCAGGGTCCAAACAAATTTCTGACCTCACTGTAATGAGTCTCCAAATTCAGTGCAGCCTTGGTGTGCGCACACACACTGAATAATACATGGACAGAGATGAGGAGAGTCTAACACACACTGACACCCTGTCTCAGATGCAACATTCTTCCATCTTTAACAAAAGCAGCCATTACGCTCAACTGAACTTTTAGTCAAATGCACCCAGGTGTCTCAATTCCCAGTTTTCCTTAGAAATTATAAAACAAACACAAACTTTTGTCATACCACAGTTGGATCGATTTTCTTGTTTGATGTTTTCTTGAGGATGTTTGCTGCGGTTTTCATCAGTATGGAGATGTGAGATGTGAATGGAGTGAACAGATGGAGGGATGGTGAATGGAGAATCGCAGGATGCTGGACAGCCTGAAGTGTGGGAGGATACTGGAAGGAAGTAAAGAGGGAGGAAGAGCAAGACATGAAGTGACATCTCAGCCCCAAGAACTGTCAGAGCACTGCAAAATTCAGAGATGAATCACTGAAGAGAAAAGGAAAAGGAACAATACAATTCCTAAAAGTAGACGTGTCTCAAAATAAGGAGTGTAAAAAAAAAAAAAAAATCAGACAACCAGTCAGCCAGACCACTTTCACAGGACGAGAGGGGGCAAAATAACTGTTTTTCTTTATTTACTTACTGGGTAGATGAGGAAATGTCATGTGGAAATGTAATGTTAAAACTGACCTTGTTAGCTTTCTAAAATACTTTTGCAAGTGCAAACCGCTGAACCTAAAACCCAGTTTTTCTTAAAAAAAAAAAAAAAATGACTTTGGGTGACGGTATTCAGTCCATCTGTCCGTGCCTGTGGCAAGACCTCAAGGCAAATGCTCATCACACCACCTGGAGGTGAGCAGTTATTTTTTCAATACACAATCATTTTGAAGTCAGTGCACTTTTAGGCACAAGTGTACCGAGTCTAAATATGAAATGGTTCAAAGTGTACCACATCTAAAGAAGACTCAAAAACCTGAAGCTATTATCTTTGGTTTGTGAACTTCTGATGAGACCTGGAAAATTTCAAGCAAATCATTCGCTAATTGTGGGCATTCAAAGAGGCAGTTGCTCACTCTTTGCCTCACTCAGGCCATCAAAATTTTACAAGACCAATCAGCCATTTTTTTGCTTCAGTAACCATACCATTTTGTATAACCACAGTTTTATAATAAATACTATGGTTAAACAATGGTTAATGTAGCAAAACCACGGTTAATTTGTACTTACCATGGTTTAACTGTAATAACCAAGGTTTTTTTGTTTTATTTGTAGTAAAACCAAGGTTAATTTTCGCTTATTATAATAGCAGCTCACGGTTGAGAGCAATCATCAACAACTTCATGTTGTTTACCGTGTAGTCTACATGCTATGAAATCATTTCCGGTGGTAAAAGCTGCAGCATTAAAGGCTGAATTCAATAAACTGACGTGTTTAACTTTTGCGCATGGTTAGGCTATTTATAAAAAAGAAAATTACCTGCAATCAGTTGTCAAAATCCATCAACATGTCGTTCGATAGCTCAAGACAAATTCATCCGTATTTTACGAGGTAACGTTAGCCTACCCAGTGATCGGTTGGTTGGTTTAGGGGCGGGGTCAAGTACAGGTTATTTGTATGAATTTTTACGATTTGGATAACTCGTAAAATAGGTAGCCTACGAATTACCGTGAGATCGTGTTGGTCATTCCAAAGTTGTTATTGGTAACTAAAACTACAATTTCATTATTTGAAATAAAATAAAATATATGATGAAAAAAATTAAATTTAAAATAAAAGCAAATTTTAAAAAAGTAAATTAGATATAGACCTTTGGAAGTAGGCGAACTGAAATAAAATAAGTTTGAAATACTAAAATGACTCAAATTGAAATAAAAAATAGAGCTATACATCAATATCTCTATTTAAATTAAACTAATAAATACGAGAAAAGCACATTAATAAATACTAAAACATAAACTTAAATGAAATGAAAATGAATACTGAAAATATTAAAATAAAATAAAAAATATTTTTAAATAAATGATAAATAGTCTGCTGCATCGAAAAGGTAGGAAATTGCACAGATTGCACAGGATTCAGCCAAGATTTTGAGGTCACATGCACCATTTCCTGATTTGCATAATTACTTTTAGTGAATCAGGCATCAAAACAAAGCCGACAGCATATGCAAATAACAAGCAGTGCTAGTGAATACAGTTCATTACAGTGAAAGAGTTATTTTTAAAGTTTTCTTTTAAAGTTGCAAAACTGGATACCACCACAATGTCTCAGTAAGACACTCATAGAAAACATTAAGATCATTATAAATCATTGTGTCAGAGCTGTGAAAGATAATTCTGTCCTTATTTACTCACCCTCATTCAAAAAATATATGCCGTTATTTTTTTCTGTGGAACACAAAGGGAGATTTTCATAAGAAATTGCAGTGAAATCATAGTAAAATAAAATAGTAGCAAATAGTTTGGAAGAACATTATTTTGGTGCGAAATAAGTCACATTTAGCTGTTTTGTGTGTGTGTGTGTGTGTGTGTGTGTGTGTGTGTGTGTGTATTATCTCTGAACCGGCTTTTAGAAATGATTATAAGCTTCAGATTAACATGGGCTTTGGCCCATGAGGATCTATTGATTGTTGCTGTTGAAATGGCAGAGTTCAAACATTCTCAAAGCCCATTAGAGAGATACAATTCATACAGGAGAGCTGATGCGCATCCTTTGGTGTCCCAAAAGTAAAGCCTTAAATGTGATGTGTGTGTGAGTGTGAGAACAGTGAGAATGTCTTAATCTCTTAAAGGCCTCTGTTTATCTCAGGTCTTTTTAAGTCTATATAAGGTCATCTCAGTTTTAAAGTGCAATCCATAACTAAGACTAGGAAGTTAACTAAAGAAATAGTTTATTTAAAAAAATAAATAAATAAATCAGTCTAAAGATACAGGATACGCATGCATGCTCTGGAGCTTACATAAATGCTGAATATAAAAGTAGTGTATTTCTTATTTCTTTCTTTGACAGGCCCAATTCTTATTTGTATCAATTTTATTCATCAGTTTCTTTTTGCATTCATCATTCTTCTTTCTCGCACTGATAATCCACTCTGCTTTCATCCTCTTCCCTTATTACTTACACATTCCATTTTACCTCCATTCACTCCTTCCTTTTGTAAATGTGAGGGAGATAACTCGCTCTTGTGACAAATCCCTCCCTTTCTGAACGTGATTTTACCAATGTTGCTGGAACAACATTCCAATCAACCAATCAGATTTAAAGGGGTGGTTGAACATGATTCCACTTTTCTAACTTTAGTGTGTAATGCTGCTGGTTCAGTGTTTGGGTAGTTTTTGTGTCACCCAGATCTAGGGTGGCCAACTTCATAAGGAAACTACGGGACAATTGTGGTTAGACTGGGGATGGTTAACACTTTTTGTTTCAGCACCTATAACTCACTGATTTTTTTTAGCTTGAGTTCTCAAAATTTTATACAAAGTACCCACATTTGTCTACTTCAAATAGGAACAATTCAACCCTCTACAAGAAAATCACAGACCTCGTGAGTACATGGTGTTCCTTTGTTACAACCTACCCCACTAGGATGTAAAAAAAAAACTAGAGATTTAAAAACATCAAAACTAGAGATTTCATCACCATGAGTGACAGCATGCTAAAACAGACCAAGACAGTGTCAGTAGAAGTAATCCTTACACAGATCTAAGATGTACCATCGCTTACACCATCCACAGAGAAATTTTATAATGGACAGCCCATCCCAAATCAGTTCAAACAAGAGTCAGACAAAGTTACAAAGTTCTTTTGATGCCATCAGGTAAAACTGATTCTGCTTCCAGCCTGGAAATTCTGTCATCATTTTTTACTCACGCTCTTGTCATTCTGGAGAACACAAAAGGATTTCAAGCACTGTGTACAATGAAAGAGAAAAGAGACCGTGGTCTATCAATCTACATTTTCAAGGACCAATAACTTTTTGGCTCATATGGCTTCAAAAGATTTGGACTACTTTTATGATATTGTTTTACTTGACATCCCCAGTGTTTTGTGTTCCACACTAGTTTCGAACAACATGAACATGAATGGGATTGGGACATGAATGGGATTCAAAATTCAAAATGCCATGTCAAAATGTTAATTTTTGGATGAACTGTCCCTTAAACACAATATCCTCAGCCGGTGCACAATATCCTCAGCCGGTGGTTTGGCGGCAGAGACGGTCATGCGAGTAGCTCGGCAGCTTTCCCGGCAGTCATGATAACAGATTGCATCCATACGTGGAGGATGACAAGCTCAGTGGAGCTCTGAGCCTTTACTGTTAGGGGAAGCAAATGAGCAGTGATGCAATCATGAGACAAGCCCACTGTGTGTGAGGAGAGAGGGATAAAGAGGAGGAAATGGAAGGATTGGCAGGGAAAAAGAAGAAAATTGCTTCTTTATCAGAAAGACATAGAGGTGGGTCAGAATGTTAAGTCTGTTGTGAAATCAGCAAGAGGAGACTGTAAGAATCATGTGTACTACTAACTTGTTTGTGTGCCTTAGTAGCATCGAACTCCACGCACCGCCACATTATAACTTTGTTTATTTGTCATTTTGTCCTCCCATTCCCAAGAGGGGGTGGGAGAGAGATAGAACAACAGTGATGACAGTACAGAAAATAATTATCCCTTATCTCAAAAGGACGGAGTCTCAGAAGGTTGCGTGGTGTTTTAGGAAAATAAACTGCAGTTTGAAATTATGCACAGAATTTGTCTGTGTTTAAATAACAATATATTATGCACTTCAATTGGTGCCGCCAATTTTCATCAAAACAAACTCGAGTACACTCATCTAAAAGACAATTGCCCTTCATCTCTTTTCCATGCAGAGCAGCGGGAAGTGATTGTGAAACTGTAACTCTAATAGTAGTACGCTTCCAGCACAAAACTTTTTCAAAAAAATGATGTCGTTGTTTTGTTTATTTTTCAGCTTGCTACCCATCTCCCGAAAGACTGTGAGCAAGAGTGTGTACTGATTAACAGTCAGCCTGAAGGCACCACTCCCAGAGTCTGCCAAGTAATCAGTTTCATATGAATGCCAGCATGACACCTGAAGCAAGCAAACATCACCCTGAGATTAGACCCAACTCAGCCGTTATGGAGCTCCTGGATGCGTTACGAAAGTGATGTGCTAAGCTTCTGAAAGTCTATTAGTTCAAATTAATGCAAAGAAATAGATATAATCTATTAAAAAAAGATAGAGGAGCTTTCTAAATGACCTTTGTTTTGTTTCAGATTAACTGTGTATGTCCTGTGTTCACTGAGCTTGAGTTTATATGTCACAGATGAATGAAGAGGTTAATCTCAGCTCTCATCTCAACCCTAATCTCCAAAGCCTGGAGCAGAGCAAAAACACTCTACTATTCCACTCAATCTCTCCTTAATCATCAAGGTCAGTGTTTGTGGCAAACCCCTTCTCAAAAGAAACTCAGAAAATCAGAGAACCAGCGAGACTAGGGGAGGATCTGACAGTTATGCATGTTACAACAAAATTCATATCTGAATTCCCCATCCTCAGCACATCCCCATTGATCACCATATTCAGCAGATGGATGTGTGTGACTGATCGTACTACTATACATTTCTGCTGAGAAAGAAAGAAAGAAAGAAAGAAAGAAAGAAAGAAAGAAAGAAAGAAAGAAAGAAAGAAAGGTGTGAGTAAAAAAAAAATACAAACTAACGCTTCTGTCCTACTGTCATTATTATTATTTTCTCACTCCATAAGACATTGATTCATCCACGGGGGTCATGCGTTTAGAGTCGTGATTGTTTAGAGCTTTTAGAGTCGTCCATAATGGTATATCCATTATTAGTGATCGGCCGGCTGATATATCGGGCCGATATTTGCGTTTTTTTATGTGTATCGGAATCGGCCGATACGCGACTGCTGCGTTCACCGATAGTTTTTTCCCGGCACAGAAAAATTTACTTTTTAGGTAAATTAAAAAATTAAGTAAAAATGTACTTTATAAGTTACTTTTAAAATGAAGTACAGTGTGCACTGTGCACTTTATGGTTGCTACAGTGTGCAATAGTGTAATTATTTCATTTATGCTTAATTTTTTTTTTGTTCAACCTCATGTTTTTACTATTTGTTAAATATTGTTTTTTTAAAGTTAAATTAATGTTACTTTTGTTAAATTGAGACCTGTAACATTTGTTGACATCATGTAATTTCTATGAAGTAAATTTAGCGAGCAAAATGTATCGGCTCCAAATATCGGCTCAAGAAAATCGGCAACCCGTATCGGTCATCAGCTAAGGCTGATGGGAAAAAAATCGGTATCGGTATCGCCACTAAAACATCCATATCGGTCGATCTCTATCTATTATGGACTCGCAGAGATTGTCTTTCTATAAATCTTTATTTGAATTGATCTGAAAAATAAAAAGACATTTGGGGCAGACAATTTTCATTTTTGGGTGAACTATCCCTTTTGGGACCGTTCACACCATGGTGGATAGGCCTAACTAACTATGACAATAAAGTTTGTTTTTTGCTCTTAGAACTTTTTGGCTG